AGCTGGTGGGCAGGCGGGGTAGCATTGTGGCCCTCTTCAGAAGGTTGCGCTGGTGGGCATCAGTCATTCTGCACATTTATTGAGGCCTCAATGTGCTGCGTTTGACTGCTGTGCTTGGCTTGTGCTCCACATCAGGAGCATAGTAGGGAGGGTCAGCAAGGGTGGGGCATGCAACGAAAAGGCGTTGGGTGGGATCTAAATGGGCAGGGACAGAGAGGAGGATAAGAATGAGTTCTCAGATCAGCGGGGAAGAAGGGGCCCTTCCTGACCTGCAAACTCTGGTTGAAAGACTTGGAAAAACAGACAGCTAAGGTCAGGGCCATCCTAGAATCCTGGGCCCACTGAACCAGGACAGCTTGTGACAGCTCAGAGAGTAATTGCTCATTTTAGATAACAGAGGGAGAAGCTGATAAAGGGTTGACCGTGTCTAAAACACCAGGTAAACAATCCTGGGGATTCTGGGCATAAGGGTTGCAGTGGAGTGAGGTACAGGTATGCTCCCAACCATGGAATCTGAGGTCTTATACTCAACCTGACCGTTGAAACTCATCTTTCAGGGACTCTAGGTGGAGGCGAGGCAGGGTTGAGACTGTTTTGGAGACTTGAACTACTCCTTGGGAAGGGCCTCCAGGGCCTGCTCTCCTCCTGTTTGCAAGAGAATGGCATGCTGGGTAACTCCCTTCTGGAATACCCTTCTCACTCCCTGCTCAGGAAGAGGCTGTGGCTGACAGTCCTGGTGCTGCTAAGCACCCCAACCCCTACCCTGTGACCCCACATTCCAGGCCCAGAGCCACCAGGGTGCGTCTGAGCTGGAGGAGGAGCAGGTTCTGAAGGAATTTGGCAGATTACAGTAAGAATCTCCCTTGAAAGAAAGTTATAAAATCACTCCCACAGGACAGCAAGTCTGGGAATAGCAGGCAAGAAGCCCTGTGGGCTTTCGATGCTGACTGGATCTGGCTTTTGGCTTTTTCCTGCCTGCCATTGCATCGTACACACGCACACACCTGCAAGTGGACGTATGTACACTTGGCTCTGTATTTTGTACAGATATGGAACCCACATGTGGTCCAACTTACCTGCATCCCAGGCATTCCCTGGTTACTTCTGGGGACAAAGCATCTGGACTGGAAACTCAGGATCCAGAGAGCCATTGGAATGAATCCTGAGGGACTGTTTCTGCCATGTATTGGAAATCCAGGGAGGCTGAGGAGGTGGGACTTCATCCCTCTTACCTGCTGTGTACAGCCCTGGGCCTGAGCATTCATTAGTCCTACAGGACACACTTTCTGTGGGAGAAGAGAAGCCCAGAAACCCTTTGGGCAGCCACAGAAATTCTTCTAGATTCAAACTGAGATGGCCTGGACCATCTCGAGAAGTGGGTAAAAGGCAAATCCCCACTACAAGCATTTGTGACTGCACAGTCAACCACAACCAAGTGGTCAAGGCCTGGCCAGGGTGGCTGTCACCTCAATCATAAGTCCCACTTCAGATGTGGTTCCTACTGAGTGTTGGCATTTGTTAACCCCTGAGCTCTAAGGCCTTCTAGGGAAGACAGCGTGGCTGTCCTGAGACTGTCTTCTCATTGGGGTGTGAGTTACTGTCCTTTCCACTCTAGGTCTTAATAACCTGGTCAGAACCTACCCGTAGCTGATTTCCTAGACAAAAGCTTCTGGGCTGGTCCTGACTTCCCTCTTGCTCCTCTGGTGACCCCGGGGTGCACATTGGCTCCTGAGGCCCAAGGTATCTTGGGAAGGTACAGTGTCCCAGGCAGTGTGACTTCCTCAGGTCTTTTCACCTTCCACTCAAGTGGAATTAGTTTATGTTTGAAAGAGGGGTTTTAGGGTGACACTCACCCATTCTCTGGAGGGAACAGAAGCCCCTCTTGCTTCTTCTGCCTACGACCTCATTCCCTCTTAATAGTCAGGTTTTAAGGAAGGATATAGATGGCTTGACTATGAGGCCAGACCATGAGGAGGCAGGTGGGGTGACTTACCTGAGGCGTTAGTTGTTTTTCTCATGGCTGTGACAGAATAGTTAGCATGAACAACTTCAGTTTGATTCATGGCGTCAGAGTTCAGTTCATAGCTGGTAAGTTATAGCGTATGACCGGCTCCCTTTGGTAGTAAGAGAGTGTCACAATAGCTGTTTACATGGCTCTGGCCAGGAAACAAAACACAGGTGGGAACCTGGGAACCAGGGCTGAGCACAACCGTCAACAGTTAGGTCTGACCTCCTGAAGGTTCCATTGCCTCCTAAAACAGTGTCAACAGTTGGGGGGCGGACATCCTGACAGGAGCCTGTGGGAGACTTTCAGGTTCATCCCTAACACCTTGGCCACTGGCTGCCTCTTCTCGTGCTGTTTTCCTGAATTGCTTGAAAGTCACATAGTTTGCTTTTTTTCGCTCTTCTGTGTGTGTGTGTGTCTTGTGTAGTCCCAGTGCTGATTCAACATTAAGACTGCCCAATACTTGCCACAGGGCTCTAATGAGATGTCCCGAGATGTCCTTCTTGTTTGGGGCCTCTAAGACTGGCTGCAGTGTCCGCTGTGGACAGTGGGTGACTACAGCATCTGACATGCCTGTGTGGGGCCAACACACATGAGCTGCAGCTGTCCGTACTATGCAGGCCAAGCAGGCTCTGGCACCACTGCTTACATACGTGATCAGGAAAGGACTAGCCAGGTGAGCAGTTCTCACCTCAGGTAAAACCCACAGAGGCTCAGGGAGACCCTCTTGGGGACATTTACATCACCCCAATACCAGACCCCGCTTGTCTCCTGCAGGCAGAGTAGACTCCTAACCAACCCTGGAAGGATTCTTGGCATATTCCAATGAGAAGAGTATCCTGGTTGAGACACCAACTCCCAATTCCTTAGAGATGATGTCGTTCCAAGACAGACAAATGATTCCTTATAAAAATAAGCAAAGCTCCTGCAGAACTCTCCAGTGAGCCCGCCATGCATGCCTTCCATGTGAAAGGCATGTGAATAAAGAGGCAGGAGCCACCAGGTAGATCAACTGTGTCCGCTCATGGAGAGTTAGTGATGAACCATCCTCTTCCTCCGCGTAAACAGCCCGTCAGGCCTGACTAGGAGCCAAAATTTTGGTCAAGCAGCTCTCTGTCTACACTGTGAAAGGCCAGAGATAAGAGCTGATCTTTGATGATTGACAGCTCATAAGGAACTGCTTCAACCTCCATATGCATCATTAAGGGGTTTACTCCTATATAGGGAGGCACCTTCTTCAAGAGGCTAGCATCATGGAGGAACTAGCATTAGGAAGGGTCTTTGGAGGTGGGAACCTGGCTAGCAGAGGCTTCCTCCACCAACAGTTGCAATCATGAGACATGGTGGAGACCCATTAGGGGCCAGCAGGTGTGAATGCTTTGTGACAGGAAGAGAAGAGAGTATGTATTAACACTTTGACAGAAGAGGGCCATACACTGACTACAGTATTCTATGACAGGGAGAGGCTACAGTGGATGAGTGACGACAGGAAGTAGGGACCACTGGTGTGAGCACTCTGATGAGATGGGGCAGAGGCTATGAACTCTCAGGACTTGGGGAGGGGATGGGTTTGGGAACTCTGTGAATGGGCAGGGGACAGTGAGTGTGAGCAGCTTGTGGCTTTCTGCGGGGTCCTTACTAATGAATTCTGCTGGGCCATTCTTGGTGTTGATACAAAGTCTGCCCTTAGCTCTCCATTTAGCAGCCCAAGCCAGCCATCACCCAGAGAACCCCAGACTTCTGTAGAGCGTGCTTGCTAGCAATCCTCTTTTGAGATTTCTTTGGACATCACCACTGCTTCTGAGTCATTCATAGCTGCTAGAGTAATGCCAGAGCATACCCAATTGCAGGTGTTTCCTGGGTGTTATCAGAAGACTTTGGGGATCAGTCCCATCTTACAGAGCTCCAAGCAGCAGGGAAGAACCTGAGTACTTTCATTGAAGTCAGCATCTGTGGGCAAGCAACCCGGTGGCCAAACTGCTCAACTCAAACTTGATACAATGGCAGGAGGTCTTGCAGATTTGGAAACAGCATGTGTTCCCAGTTGCAGACTCAATGTTGGCTTTTCCCTTGATCTCAGCGCATCCAGCCTTGGGGAGGGCCTTCATCACTGTGTGCAGACATATCTTACGATTTCTATTACTGTGTTGAAACACCGTGATCATAAAAAACCCAGGGAGAAATGTTTATCTCGGTTTACAACTCTCAGGTCATACTCCAACACTGAGGGACATCAGAGCAATAATTCAAACAGGCCAGGAACCCGGAGGCCGGAACAGAGGCAGAGGCCATGAAGAATCGTGGCTTACATGGCTTACGTGACTTGCTCCCCAGGGCTTGTCACCCTGCTTTTTTACAGCTCCCAGGACCACCAGCCCAGGGTGGCCACCTACAGTGAGCTAGGCCCCCCCACACCAAACATCAATTGAGAAGATGCACCATAGGCTTGCTCACAGGCCAGACTGGTGGGGATATTTTCTCACTTCAAGTTCCCTTTTCTCTATAGACTCTGGCTTGTGTCTAGTCAGCAGAAAAATAGCCAGAACAAGACTGGTTTCTCTCTTTCATACCAGAAGCCACTGTAGGTCAGAGACTGCCTCAGCATTTCCAGGGCTGACCCGGTTGCTGGTACACAGGGGCTCAGTGGTATCCTGTGAATGTCTTGGGCTCCGATCCACTGTATTGCTCCTTTAACACGGATTTAGAATGCAGTCATCCTAAACACAGAGGCTCCAGAGAAAGTGCTGGAACCTGGTGGACTTAGCCATACTTTCTCTTCCTCCACCTACACCTGCACATGGGATGGAGTCCATTAGAGGATGGATTGTTGGGTGGTGAATGAAGGATGGGCAAACAGAGAAATGGATGGAAGCGGGAAGGAATGTGTAGGTAGATGAAGGGATGGGCAGATGAATGAATGATGGGTGAATGGATAGATGGATGATGTGTGGATGGACTGATGGTAAAGGATGGGTGGACAGACGAGCAGGTGGGTGAATTCTTTAGAGTCTTGATTCTCCTTGGCATAAGTCTGTTTCCCCAAGTATGAAGCATGTTCACTGTATACCATGCATCCTTTCCCATTAATCTCCCTGCCTTCTTGCATGGAGGGTAGTGTCTTCAGAGCTACCGCCTCTCACTGGAGTCCCTAGAATAGAAGTGTGACCAGTCTATCAGGATAAGAGCTATCTTATTCGCAACGGTCCCGGACAACCATAGAAAGACCACTTTACCGGGAGACAGTGATTCTCTGGGCTTCCGTGTCCAGCATCTGTGCAGGCTTGGGTCTCATCTGCCACCAGAGCAGATGGACAACATTTTAGGATCTGTGCTTCTTGTTTATGGCCCCTCCTAACCTCTAGTTTGGACAGCCATGGCTATGGGCCAGGCATGATGGTAACGCTTGGGAGGCGGAGGCAAGTGGATCTCTGTGAGTTCTGGATGAAAAAAAAAAGAAAGAAAAAGGAAATGATGCGACTGGTCCTAGGTGTTTTGGAGGAGAAGGTTTGTTGCAGATAAGAAGGAAAGCAGAGCCAGAAGCAGGGGCACCTGGGAGAGTCCAGAATGGACATAACCCTGAGCCATGTGAGAAGATAGGAGAGGAGAGAAGGGACATCCAAACCAAGAGGCCAGGAAGGTAAAGGGTAGATGGAAGGGCCAGGTAACCAAATGACTGGATTATACAGGGAAGTCTCTGGACTGAGGAAGTTTAGGTGGGTGGGGATATGCCAGCCAGGAAGGCTCTGCAATAGGTAGGTAGGTAGGTGGGTACCTAGGGATGAAGGAAGAATCAGGTGTCCAGGTCTGTTTTGATATGTTAAATAGGTACCTTAGCTTTTTGTCCCCGGTTTAAAACCTAACAAGTTCCAGGATAGCCAGGACTATGTAGAGAGACCCTGACTCAAAACAAAATAAACGAAAAAACAAAAAACAAAAAAATCTCAGCTGTTTTGGTCTCCAGATGAGGAACTGGAGACAAGGGGACAGCCTGACCCAAGAGAGGAACCCTCCAAAGGTGACGGTTGGGATTGTCAGACTTGATTTTTGCTGTAAAGGCCACATCATAGCACACAATACCTACTCAGGATTATAACCAAGAGGCAGTCTGTGCCCCAGCTGGTACAGATGTTAAAATAGATGTGAACGGTACTTAGGAGGGAAGCAAGACTGGAGGTGGCCTCTTAGTGTCCACTGCTCCTCATGGGCCACCTGTTCTTAGGTCACTGCTCTGGAACGGCAGGTGTTTGACTTCCTGGGCTACCAGTGGGCACCCATCCTGGCCAACTTCATCCACATCATCATGGTCATCTTGGGGCTCTTCGGCACCCTTCAGTATCGGCCACGCTACATTGTGGTGGTGAGTCCACTGTGCTTGGCTGCCTCTATTCAGGGAGTAGGAGCCCTGCTGTCCTTGGTGGCAGCTTGGGCAGAATGCCTTAGGTTGGTACCTATCCCCAGGGTGGGCTTAGGTAACTCTTTCCAAGCTCAGTGTCGGGAAGGTCAGATTCAGGGAGTCCTGGCTTTGCCATGCGTTCAAGGGCTTTCTTCCAAGGCATTGGAGAGAATCAGATCTCATCTCTGAAGCTGCTGGGTTCAACTTCTGCCCTGTTCTTTCTGGCCTCCGTAGTATGCTGTGTGGGCAGCTGTCTGGGTTACCTGGAATGTCTTCATTATCTGCTTCTACCTGGAAGTGGGGGGCCTCTCGAAGGTGAGTAAAGATGGGAAGGGGTTCGTCCACTGGGTCTTGGATGGATCACCATGTGATGCTTGATACAGCTCACTGCATATTTCCTAGTGAAGCAGGAGCTTGATGCATAGTGCTGACCCCAGCGCTCGGATTATTTGGGCTGTTATCAGTGCCTCAGCAAAGTTCAGCAAGACTGGTTTGTGGGTGGTGAGGGTTATTGGTAAGGCACTGTGGGTATCAGTAGACCATGGCCTCAGGCTAGGTAGCACAAAGAGTAGGTCTTCTGGAAGAGGTCCTTGGAACCAGGCAGTACCAGGGAGGAGCAGGGACTAAGTAGACACCTGGCCAAAGTGTGCAGGTGTGTCCTTCTCAGGGATGGTGGGATGGAGGCCCTGAAAGAGACCTTCTTCTTGTGGTCATATGGAGTCCTCTGCCCTAACAATGTCATGTGTTTCCTGAGGAAGCTCTGGATTGGTACAGCTTTGTTCTCCTAGCCTAGAGTACTATGTAGTGGTGTGGTGGACTGAACTAGCACTAACTGAGGTTATGCCAGTCACTGACCTGAGACCCAAGGCCCACTGTGGCAGTTTGGCCAGGGACGTGAATGAGAGAGCTTTGAGGAACCTAGACACCATAATAGTGTGTCCTAAGGTCTGCCGCCCAAGGCAAGGGATGTTCCTGGAGGAAGTGGTATGAGGGCTGAAGCCATGAAAATCCGGCTTTCCCATGGAGAAACAGATTGGGACACTTGTTCCTGTTCCACACAGCTGAAGCCTAAGAGGAATGGGTAGAGGGAGACTGGCCACCTTCGTCCTTGCCTGCTCCAGATTGTGGTTGGTAGAGGCCGCTGCCTTCTGATCCTAACTTGTCCCGCTCCTTTGTTCCCAGGACAGTGAGCTCTTGACCTTCAATCTCTCCCGGCACCGCTCCTGGTGGAAAGAGCATGGGCCAGGCTGTCTTCATGAAGAGGCAGCCACAACTGGCCTGGGAGCAATGCATGGCCAGTCCTTGGTGGTAGATGCTGGCTGTGCCACGGTGTATAGCTATATGGAAGCCCTGCACAGTGGTCTGCAGATCCTGCTGGCGGTGAGTGTGGTGTCAGGCACTCAGGCTGTGGGCTTGTTCTACCTGGGGGCAGAGACAGGGCCTTTCCTTTACACAAAGGTATCAGCCTCCATATCCTGCAAAAAGTAGAGGAGTCACAGGTGAGCTCTATCCTTGAGCCTCTCTTAGTCACCGTCCTATCGCTGTGAAGAGACACCACGACCAACGCCACTCTTATGAAAGAAAGCATTTAATTGGGACTTTGCTTACAGGTTCGGTGGTTTCATCCATTAATCATCATGGTGGGGAGCATGGCAGCAGGCAGGAAGGCATGGTGGTGGAGAAATACCAGAGAGCTACATCCTGATTCATAGGCAAAGAGAAAGAGACTGGGCTTGGCATAGGCTTTTGGAACCTCAAAGCCCACACTCCCAATGGCATGCTTCCTCCAACAAGGTCACACCTCCTAACTTTTACAATCCTTTTAAATAGTGCCACTCTCTAGGACTAAGCATTGATCCTATGGGAGGCCATTCTTATTCAAACCACCACAGAGCCTCGTTATGCTTCTTGTAAGACAGGCTCGGGGTCAGAATCAAACTTCAGCCTCTAGCAGGTGACTCTGTGGAGTACCAGGCACACAAGAACAGCAAAGGCACAGGTGCAGGTTGGAGTAACCAAGATGGATGCTCCCATATCTGCTCAGCGCAGGGATAGTGCAGCAAAGGAGGAATGTAAAGACCCCAAGGCTGACCTCAGAGAGACAATGAAAGGGAGAAAGAAGCCCCAGACCAGCCAATAAGGCTGCAAGTGGGCTCCACTGGTGACTGTTTAATCTCGGCAGGTCTGATGCATTAAGAGAGCATTTCAGTGCCCCCCCCCCCAGTCTCAGGGCCCTTGGGGATATTTCGCAAGTTCTCACCTCCCAGGAGAGAAAGCAGGAGAAGGTGCATACTTCCTGGCACACGGTGGGCTGTCTGGGCTGGCGGTGAGCCCACAGCCCTGAGAAGTCTGCCACAGAGCAGATCCTGCGAGACAGGGAACAGTCTGTGGAGATCTGGCTAATTTCCTAGCACTGTGAGATGGCATCGCTTTCCGGGAGCCCTGCTCTGTGAGCGGCAGAACAGTTCCATGACCAGGTAGCTCCTGTGTTGCTCGTGGTCACCACCCTATCAGGCGGCACGTCACTAGCAAGCATCAGGTGCCGCCATCCTGTCAATGGGCATGTCCCCCTGGACTCAGGTTGTCCAGGGAGAGCCTAGAGGAAATACAAGTCTCCTGATTTCAGAGACACAGAGATTCCATTATTTTTCATGTATGTCCAGAACTTGACCCAAGAGGTAACAGGATAGAAAGCCTGGTGGCACTCTACAGCTGATGAGGGAGGTTGGGAGGCAGGATTCAGTGGTGCAGAGCCATGGGGTACCAGGGGATCAGAGGTTCTGAACCCCAAAAGCCTTTCCCCAGGACCCCAACCCATTCAGCTGGCCAGGGAGCCATGGAGAGTATAGAAAAAGCAGTATGGGGAGATGCCCGAGGTGCTGGTGCTGAGGCTGGGCTCATTGTTATGTCAACACAGGTAGCTCAGGTCTCAGCCTCCCTGCAGGGCCCAGGGTCTGGACTTGGCATGGCCTACCAAGCACAGGAAGTTGTGACATTTTGTAAAATGGGGGCTGTATGGCCCACATGTTTTCTCTGAGACCTCACAGCTAATACAAGGACTAAATCCAGGCTGGACTCTTCCTTGGCTATTGATAGAAAGGAAACATTGAGACAAACCCCCACTCAGGAACAACAGATGGCAAGGAGACTATGAGGTCCTCAGACGACCTATCAACAGTCTCACGTGCTGAAGACCAAGCGAAAGGCACATGAGCCTTTCTGAGGAACACTTTGTATCCAGAGTGGGCATCGGGGGCATACAAACTCCCAGCCCAGTCTCCAGCCCGCTCCTCGCTCTCAAGGCCTTTCACACTGTGGTCAGGTGGTTCAGGTAAAGTGTCTTTCCAGAGCTCTCAGCTTCAAGGGCCACTCTGATTCCAGGGTCAAGTCTGGGGTCCCTCACTGCTGGCCACTGGGCCTCTTACCATGTCCCAAGTTCTGTCCTTTCAGGACAGAATCTGGTACAGAAGAGCATCTTGTCCTGGTACCCTCAGGGCCAGTCTAGATGTGGATACTTTATCTATGTGTCTGGATTTGGGTTGGTACAGAGACTGGAGTCTTGGAAAGACCAAAAAAATTGACTCATGAATTCTGCCTGGATGGTCGTGGAGAAAGCTGATGTCACTAGGACCCTTTCCAAAGGCTAATCAGGGCCTCATCCAGTCACACTTCATCCTGCATAGAAAAATAAGGGCAGGAGAAGCTGCTACAAACGCCTTGAAGCCCACTGAACCTGGATCCCTATGCTAGGTTCCTCCATGCAGGAGTGTCTGCTACCTCACTATTAGGGTAGTGCCCCGCACATCTGGGCCCTCACAGAGGCCAAGTTCTTGCTTTATATCTGTATAAAATCTATAAAAAAAAATCACCTGATCATACAGGAGAAAGTGATCATAGTGACGCAAGCCTACATTCCCGGCTTAGAAACTGAGGGAAGAGGATCACCAATTCAAAGCCAACTTGGGTACATAGTGAGACCTTTTCTGAAAAATAAAATAAAAAAGCTGGTCTGGGAAGGTAGATCAGTTAGTAAGATGGTTCCTTTGCAAGCATGGGACCTGAGTTCAGTTCCACAGAATCCACCTGGAGAGATGGCTCAGTGGGTAACAGCACTTGCTGCATCAGCCTAAGACTCTGAGTTCAGATCCCAATACCCTGTCTCAAGGCAACAAGGTGGAGAATACCAGAGTGAGACACTTGAAGTTCTCTTCTGGCCTCCGTGTGCGCTCACAGGTGTACATACTTGAACAGACTTGTGTACATGCATCATACATACACACATAAATAAATAAATATAGCAATTTTTGAGATGAAGTCTTACAATATAGCTCTGAAAGTCCTGGAACTCTGCGTAGGTCAGGGTCACCTCAGACTCACAGAGATCTGCCTGCCTCTACTTCCCAAGTGCTGGGGTTGAAGTCATGAATCACCTCCCCCGGTTCATTAAATATAATAAAGTATTTTTTGAAAGATAGGAATAGTGGTGTACACTTGTAATCCCAGTGCTTGGGAGCGGAAGACAAGTGGATTCATGAGGCTCACTGGCCAGCCAGTCTTGCCTGTTTGGTGAGTATCAGGACAGTTGGAGATGTCTTTAAAAAAATAAAAAATTAAAAGGTGGGGCGGGGCGGTGGTGGCGCACGCCTTCAATTCCAGCACTTGGGAGGCAGAGACAGGTGGATCTCTGTCCGTTTGTCTCCACAGCAGTCTCCAGTGGTCTCACTGTTCGGGCTCCTCCTAGTTGTGGTGCCTCCTCTCTGGTTCTCTGAGACCCCACTATAGCTCCTGCTTAGCTGGTGCCTTCTGAAATATTTGTGTGCACCAAATCATTCAGGGTCCCAGGAAGGCAGAGCTGCTGCCAGGTGGAGGTGTGGGGGAGGGGGCAGGTATACACAATACAGGTGTTATGTTGGGACCCACAGGGGACAGTGCAGTCTTCTGAGATTCATGGCAGCATTTTGGGTCCTAAAATAATACACGAGGAGTGAGTTGTCAGCACCAGGGCAGGGAGGCAGTTTTGCTAGCTGTGGGATCTTATTTTCCTGCTCTCTGATCTGCTGGGTTCTCCACTAGTCAAACCCATCCTGTCCACATTGCCAGGAACAGAGGCTCGATATGGGGGGGGGGGGGAGGCCTGTACCCTGGAACTCACAGTAGAAGGGACCCACAGGACATTGTCTGACAGCATGAGGAAGACAGGCCTGACTCTCTGGGTTCGGAGGACACACAGTGTGTGATCTTTTTTTTATTTGATTTTCTTATTGTTTTTATTGAGCTATATATTTTTCTCCACTTCCTCTCCCCTCCCCTTCAACCCTCTCTCATAGTCCCCATGCTCCCAATTTACTCAGGAGATCTTGTCTTTTTCTGCTTCCCATGTAGATTAGATTCATGTATGTCTCTCTTAGGGTCTTCTTAGTAGTCTAGGTTCTCTGGGATTGTGAATTGTAGGCAGATTTTTCTTTGTTTTATGTCTAAAGGCTACTTATGAGTGAGTACCTATGATATTTGTCTTCCTGGGTCTGGGTTACCTCACTCAGTATGATGTTTTCTAGATCCATCCATTTGTAGGACATGATCTTGCCCCTCCAAGCTACCTCTCAGGTTTCATGTTCTGTGGGATTCCTCACCCAGATGTTGCCCACTGGGTGAGTTAAGGGAGAATTGAAGATGTGGGAGTGTGGGAAGCCATGTGGGTAGTATCCCAGTTCCATTTTTCGGGGGAGGAAATCAAGGCCCAGGAGATGCAGGGCTTCCATCAGATACACATGGGGTCATCCACACCATCCCCAGGCTGCTGCTGCAGTGAGAGACGGCTTCGCATGTCTGGCCTCTTGGTGTCTTTCAGCTCCTGGGTTTCGTCTATGGCTGCTACGTGGTCAGCGTGCTCACAGAAGAAGAAGACAGCTGTAAGTGTGTAGCTAAGTGACATGCGAGTGACAACTCTGAGTGCTGTGCTATCTTGGGTAGGACTTGAAGGTGGCTCTCAGTTATGCCCTTTCTGCCAGGAAGGCCTGACCATAGAGGTGACAGCCCAAAGATCTGAGAAGAGGGGGAGTCTATGAAAAGGGGCCCAGCAGCCCTTGGGCCCAATGACACTTATCCTCATGATCCCACAGTGGCCTAAGGAGGGCATGAGTCCTCAATAGCAAGGGCCACTCTTCCTGCCTGGTACACATGTTGGTTGGCATTCAGTACTAGGCAGGACCCATTTGGGCAAATTATCCTTTTCTCTCTGCATGTAAACACCTTTCAACTTAACTTTGATTTGCAATGTGACACAGTAATGCTTCAAGTTATCCCTTTGGGGACTCCCAGTCCTAAAATAGTCTGATAGGAAGAACCTATAGAGAAAGGATTGACAGGGTGGGTGGGCAGTCAGGGCTCCTGTGGATGGAGCCTTCTCCAGAGTCAGAATTAAAATCCAAAGCCAGTTGCCCCTGAGAGTTGGGCCGTGGAGTCAGCTGTCCCCATGTTCAAGAGACTTGGGCTTGATTCTGGAGGCTGGTGAGGGATGGTCCCTGAGCCTAGGATCAAGCCCCCGGTGCTGCCTGATCATTGAGCCCTCAGCTAGCTGCTTGGGATGAAGCAGGAGCTCCACCTGCTCTTTGAATTCAGAACTGCAGCCAGCCCTGAGCTTCAGAAATGTGTTCATTTTACCCAACAAGCCTAGCGACCACTAGTGTGTATGTGTGTTGGGGGGGTTGGTTTCATGGGACAGAGGCTTGATGTTAACAAAGGCCATGGGGATGACTGGAGAATCTAGCAGGGTGGGATGCAGCCCCATCCAGGCTTGAGGGCCCTTGTTGGCCCCCTCACCTGATTCCTTCTGGGAAGGTTCATTCAGACCACAGAGCCAGGAAACTGTGCACAGTGCCCCCAAGAGATCCCAGCAAGGTTTGAGATACAACAGGGGACTGATTTGCAGAGGTGCCTGCCCCCCTTCACAAGTCCTGGCAATGCCCCTTTTGCTGGAGATCTGCCACTGGGAATGTTTCCGTTCTGCCATCTTTTTCCATCATTTGGGTTTTATTTTATTTGGGCTTGATTTCTTTCAGTTGATTTCATTGGTGGATTTGACCCATTCCCCCTGTACCATGTCAATGAAAAGCCGTCCAGCCTCTTGTCCAAGCAGGCATATTTGTAAGTATGGTCCACTCAGCCTGCATCAGGGTGCTCACAATTCAAGGCTCTTCTCCTTGGAGACTTTATCAGGCATCTGTATGTCAATCCATTCCCCTAAAACCATGCTCTGGTTAGGTGTCAGGGTGCAGTGACTGTAGAACTCAGCCCCACATGTTGAGCTCAAGGCTCAGCAGGGTAGATTCTGTGTTCATCAGAACCCTAGTCAGCACTGAAGTCTGGAGTCTCAGGAATAGGAGGGATGCCAACAGGCCACTCCCCCAGGGGCATCAGTGCTTCAGTAAGTGTAGAGGGTGTTTGTTTCTTATATTTGGCAGATCACATTTCCTTCTCTAAAGCAGTACCACGGCCCTACAGATGCCATGGCCATGCCTGGGCTTCCTGGAAGTCTTGGAATTGAGGTCAGAAGGGATATTGAGGGGTTCTCTTGGTGAAGCTGTCTTCGGTCCCAGAGATTCCTAGTGCCTGACCTCAGGGTGTCCTAGACGATTGTGGGTAATGGGTATCACAAGTAGCAGGACTTCAACTCCTAGGATGAATGAAGGATGAATAAAGAAGGAAATACAGACCTAGGAAGGGGAGGAGTCTCTTCAGGCTGCCTGTTGTAGCTCCTAATACAAGCCTGGACTCAATAGATCCCCATGACTAGGGGCAGTCCGTGGGAGGTTTCTCGTCAGTGGAGAGTCTGAGTGGATGAAAGGACCCTGGGTGAAACAGTCACTCCACTTCCAGTCCCAGAGGAATGGGCCAGGGTCATCAGAGGATAAGATCAGTACCTGCCCTGAGTGTGGAGAAGCCTAGTTCCGGGCATATTTTTGCTATAGCCTGAGCTACTATCCCTGCCTTGGTTTTGTGTGTTTTACATCTGAAATCCCCAAGAGAAGGGACACTGTCCTCCTTCTCTCAGTCCCCTCTGATCTCTGCCTTCTCCGCAGGCCTGCGTAAGTGAGAGAACAGTTGACCCTTCTCTGGCAACCCAGTTTCAGCCGCCGGAACAATGAGGAGACTCCAGGCCTGGAGTCACAACCCTGCTTCCCTGCCCGCCTAGCATTCTTTCCAAATTCCCCTTGGATACCAATGAGGGGCGGGGCACACTGCAGGCCAGGGTGGCTGCAACTGTGAGTTTGTAATTTCTCTTTCTTTCTCTCTTCCTTTCTTTTTTCTTTCTCTCTTCCTTTCTTTTTTTCTAAAAAGAAAAAATAGTAAGACAAGACATGAAAGAATACAGAAACAAACTGGATCCCTGGTCTTCTTGGGCAACTGGCAGTGAACCTAGGCAGTTTTCCCAGGCGTCCCCAGAGTGCTCTGACCTGAGGTTACAGGACCTGCAAACCACAGACCACGTATGGAAGGGCTCATCAGGGGACAATGAGAAGGTTCAGTCCGCCACCAAGATCCAAGAGTGACAAAGGCCTTGAATACATGCTGCAGTACCCTAGCTGAGGCCAGTGCATTCCCTGTAGCTGGACCAGGAGCCCTGCTAAGAGGGAACCATGGGTGAAACATGGAGCCTGGGAATACCACATAGACTCTTCTTTGTAGAAAGTAGATGGTACAGTTTAGAAAAAAGGACCTTGGGCAAGTATCCTGAGAACACCTGCCATTTTAGGAAATATACAATGTTCGTGGGTAATTAGAAGTGGGGTCTCAAGAGGCACCTGAAGCCAAGCTATTCTGAAAGGGTAGAAAACAGTACTAGATCACTGAGATCAGAAAGAGCGTTTGTTCTTCCCCAAGCGTTGTGAAGGGATTAGACGTGGCTGGACACTGTGGCTGGACACCGATTAGACGTGGCTGGACACTGGTGAGCACAGACCAGCTCAGCGTGGACTAAGAGATGAGGCCGGGTATCTGGTATAGAGCCTAGCTGAGCACTAAAGTGAGACCTTCTACTTTATTATCTTCAAATAGGTTCCCAAAGCTACAACAGAAGCACTCCTCACACCAACCAGGAACTCTTCTTCCACGCTGTGCTATGTTTGTGGTCGATACCGAGTGTCCCCAGCAGACCCACTGTGTGGTCTGGGACAGGCTGGGGCAGGCAGGGTGCCCATCTTGCAGTACCTGGAGGGAGGAAAGGAATCAGTGTGAGTTCTGTTCCTATCAGGCTTGCCTGAGTCAGAGGTCCTTGGCTCCAGGGACTTCCTTGGCCTACCACTTTCCTCTACCAGAGAATTATCAGACACATTGACCTCTGAGAGCATAAGAAGGCCATGGCTCCCATCTCTCAGCAAGGACAGGGGTGCGATACATTTATGTTACAATTGAGGTTCATGTGCCCCCTCCCAGGCATGACCACCAAGCACCAATCTAGCCCATGTGCCCCTGAAGCTGACCTCTCCAAGCCTAGTTGAGGCCCTTGATGACCAGCTAGACAACGGGTGTCCCCCAGCCCTCTTTCCCTCTGACCCCTCCTATGAAGGATTCCAAACAGTGGGACTGACCAGCGGAGGGAGTGAGAAGTGGGGCCTGGCCATCTGTAGAGCCACTGCCAGCCTTAGGTTACACCCAGGCTGAGGAAGGGTGCTGGGAAGACCCCGGACCTCACCTGGGTTAGGACAGGAAGGTGCGTACACAGCTGCAGATAGGCACCCTGCAGATCGGGCACACTCGCAGGCTGGGGGCACACTCAGGACAGACTAAGTGGCCACAGGGCACGAAGACTACAGAGACAGCTTGATCCAGGCACACCTTGCATGTTCTCTCCTCCTGCAGCTGTCGCAGCTGTTCCTGCACAGACCCAGCTCCTGGGGACTCAAGAAGTCACCAGCACCCTCAGGGCCCAAGAGACGGACTCCTCAGGGGGAATGCACTTGTTACACAGACCCACCCTCTTATCCCCCATGTTTCCCCTGCAGTTCCTCCAAGAAAGAAGGTGACCCATTCACCTCAGGTGGATCCCTACTATACCTGGTTCACTGATGTCTTCAGGTTGTGTCTCTCCTCTGGATGTGAGCAATTCAGGGCCTCCATGGGCAGGAGCTGTACACAGTTAGTAGAATTGGATTTAATCAAGGCCTAGCTTCTGTGGGGAAGGGAGGCCTCGCCCAAAGAGGATCTAGCAGCCACTAAGTTCCAGTACTGTCCTAGAGAACAGAAAGGTTTTTATGGCATTCCGCCATTCATGAGCTTCCTGGAGGGCACCAAGGAGCCTGCCTTCCACCAGGATACTCTGCCTGCCAAGCCCCTCAGACGAGGGAGTCACAGATTGTATGTACTTGGCACTTTGGGAGGGACAGGAAACAAAGGGTGATGGATTCCCAGAGGAGTGAGACAAGGAAAGGCAAGTAGTGCCTAGCAGGGGTGGCTGTACCTCTGGCCCCGGCCGTCTGGCCCTCATCCTCCTGGAGCATGTTAGCCATCAGTTGTGAGGGGGCTGTGCTGGGCACACCTGGGCTCTGGCTCCGTTCCCGGATGCCCCTGATATCTTTAAGACAGACAGAGAGAGAGAGAGAACAAGAGATCCCAAGATCTATGGGTTGCAGAGAAAGGCTGGTGGTCTGTGGTATGCTCTGTCTATATAAACATGGATCTGTGTATTCCCAGAAGGCACTGGGAAAGGTCTGGCCCTCTTATAGCAAGGATACTGCATTTCAGAGCCTCTCTCTAGAGGTGCTACCATCACTGGGGAAGACAGCAGACAAAGCCCTGCCGAGCACCAGAGTGTCCCACAGACGCGTGTGCTTCTGAAATGGGTTTGTGTTGTCACATCATGTCTCACAGCAGTGAGGCTCAGGGAGAAGAGCCACTTGCCTGTGTCCACAAAGGTAGCAAACAGATCAGGGGGTCTCTGAAGTCAGAAATCCCCTTGGGGGGTCCCTGAATAACCTCAGACCCCTGTCCCATAGGGCCCAGGGAAGAGATTTGGAAAGCTGTGTCCTCTGTGGCTCTGTTCAACAGGCTTCTCCTTACAGTTCAGTTGGCTTTCAGAAACTGCCCAGCAGAACCAGTCCAGCATGCAGCTACATCCCCAGCTTTGGCTGGTGCCTTTAGCAACCTACTCGGCGGGACCGAGGGAATGCAGTGACCTGACCTATGCCTTGGACACACAGCACATGTGCACAATCCCTCCCTGCTGACTGGCAGGTGGATGCACTCAACAGTCTTACCCATGTACAGGCTGCAAATGCCAATGAAACGGCAAGGGCTCTGTATCAGGGTATCTCACCTGAGGGGGTGGCAGGGACCGTATCTTCTGGTTCTTCCCATCGGTCCTGCGGGAAAGCCGTTGATGCCGTAAGTAACAAAGCAAGGGACTGCTAACCCCGAGTCCCGAGGACAGATGGACTCAGATGGACTTACCCAGGAGCCAAGCAAGGGGGCACAGGCCTGGATTCTTTCCACAAAGTGCCTTCCTTTTGACTGTAGCAGGAACCGACACCTGGGGAAGAGATCTCAGAAGGCAGGACTGGACTCTGAGAGCCCCACTGCTACACTCAAGCCCCATGCTTTCTGTTCCCATGGAGCCCATTACGCCCTATGGCAGGCAGGCAGGGCTGTATCTCCGGGGGCGGGGGACTTGCTGGGAAAGCTAGTCAGGAATGGACTCTGAGCACCTAGAAAAGGATAATGCCCACCAAGGCAGCCCTTCCAGAGAGAGCTCCATGAAGAGCGGGGTTGTCTGCTACCCTAGGGAGATCCTGATATCCCGGGACTGTGGAAGATGGGAAGACTGGGCAGAGTTCTTTAGGGCCCTTTTCATTAATCAGACCTGCATCAATCCACTTGGCCTTTACCTGGGGAACCATCGGGCATGCTCTGTCCAGGGGTCATCTCCGTGCTCCCAGCTCTGCAGACCGCCATAGCAGAAGAAACATCTCACCTTGTCCTGTTGGCCTGGGTATGGCAGAGACACATGGTTGGTAACCCCACTGAGCTGGCAACCCCAGGGTGTTCCTCCATGATCTTCAGAGCTTGGGCAGTCAGGACTGGGGTCTGCCAGCAGGTTAACAAGAAGGGGGCAAGGTACCATGGGCATCTCTTTTGTCTCAAAGGCAAATTAAAGGCAATGCCTGGGGAATGTGTCAGGAGGGCCCGAGAACATTCTGAAAAGGCTGAGCTAGCATTTATGTTGTTCTCAAAGTATGTGGGTAGGATAGGGCCAAAGGCTTGGAGCATCTGTAGCCTGGAGATTCAAGGCATCCATCCAAGGATTCCTAGTGACAGGATAAAGAGGTGACTCCTCCCATACCAGTTTATAGCCAGGCTTGGTTTTATGGCAGGCCTTTCTCAGCTCTGCTCTCTGCCCCTCCCTCAACCGTGGGAAGAGGTTATAAACAGGACTGCTTACAGGCGTGTCCCACAGCAGACAGCCACAGTCCACAAAATCCTCCTAACACCTGCCGGCCTCAGGGACACTTCTTTTCAGGGATGCTCTAGCTGTCTCAGCCATTAACCGTTCATAACCAGTGTCCAGTCACCCTAAATCAGTTTGGACTCTTGATTGATTCCTCCCCTGCTGCCCCTACTGGTGACAGTTTCTCTGGCTATGTTCATACTTACAACGCCCCTCATTGGGTCTCGCTGCCTCTTTTTCCTCAGCCAGGCAGAGAAGGAGCCAGAACTTGACCCCTGCCGTGAGCAAGGAGCAGTCCAAGCTAAAGGAGTGGGCTGTTTGTAACTAGAATAGGTACTCAAAGGATTTGTCTGGAGTTGGTCCCTGTCCTAGCCTGGTGCATGGCAAGCCTGGAGGATTACCTACAAGATGGGTACAAATCAGGATGCTTAAGCTATTCTGATTTTGTCTCATTGAGTCCAGGAATGAAAGGAACTAATCACCTCTGTAACCAAGTCTGCAAGGCTCCCACATGGCAGTGGGGATCCCTGAGTAGTGTGGGGAACCCGCAGAACCATTCGATCCAGGTGAAACCCCCACCTGCTGAGGGGCCCTCAGGACAAGGCCAGCACAAGCCCAGGATCTCATAGTGACTTTGACTGGGGTGGACCCCCCTGCTCTGGTCAAGCAGTGATGACAGGATTACCTTTCACAAGCTCCTTCCCCAGGGCAGGGATGGACAGAACTCTTGGGACTGGAAGAGTAATAAATAGCATCCAGACCACAGCAGAAAGACCTCAAGACTTACCTGTGTGGAAGAAGCCAGCAGCAGCCAATGGCTCGGGCTGAATTTCAGCAGTGGATGGCCAGTTGTAGAAGGAAGCCAACCGGAGATCCTCTGAATCCATCTCAGGGAAGGCAGGCTCTCCAAGGAAGGTAGCCCCAGGGGGTT